CTTGAGCCCCTGTTCACTCTGAAACACATGCAACATTACAGTTCTGTTTTCTTGAGCTTAAGCCACAGCATCAGCAGTCAAACTAAAGAGAGAGCACATTTTCTAGGCAATTCTCGAGTGGCTGGTGTCGGAAAGTGAAGGAAAGCGGATAGCACTGATGTTGAACGTTTCATGCCAGAGCGTTTTAAAGGTCAAGCAGAGCCCTTTTTTGGTAAACAAGTTTTTTATTTTTAGCTTTTTTAAAACAATCTTTTTGTTAATTGTTGATCAATGCAGTGGAAAACAAATTTAAAGTTTAACTGTTTGATTTAGCGTCCTGAGTTTTGCACACAACTGGCAAATTGTGCACTTGTTTTGCTATCGTCAGTAAACCAATATGTTTCTGTAGAAAAATGCCTCCATTTCAATTCTCTTATGACAATTAGTTTCTGCTTTTTTACAACGATGCATAAAACTTTACCGAAAAACAAGTTTTTTTAAAATTTAATGCAGTTTCTTGAATTGGCAAATGTTTGTCTACCTGTTTCCTCCACCAACACTGCAAACTGCCTAAAACGGGCAAAAGGAAAAAACTTTGGTTTTGCTTGTTTTTTACTATCGTCAACAGCAAAGTTAAAGCAGTTCTGCAGTTCTAAAGTTGCGGTGCCCCCAAATTGAAAAGAGGAGGAGAAGGAGGAGGGAAAAAAGGGGGTAGACGATTTGTGCGTGTTGNTTTTTACTATCGTCAACAGCAAAGTTAAAGCAGTTCTGCAGTTCTAAAGTTGCGGTGCCCCCAAATTGAAAAGAGGAGGAGAAGGAGGAGGGAAAAAAGGGGGTAGGCGATTTGTGCGTGTTGTGTATGTTGTTATTTATTTTACATTTTCATTTTACGCACACACACTCGACGCCAAATATTGCCTAAACGCGCAGAGTAAGAAATTGCCAATTTAGAATGTAGATTTGCCAGTCAGTCCTCTCTGCTCCATTGACTGCTGTTTTCTCCATTTTATTTGGTGCCTGCACAAACGGCTCGATGTGCCTGCCTGCCTTATGAACAACAACATTTGCCTTCTGGCGAACAAGGAGACAAGGCATTGGCAGCAAAGCACTGGGCCCAGCAAAGCATCCGAAGCACATTTAAATGAATAGCACATAACCAAATGGTAGTGCACCAGTGAAAGTGAGTGAAAGTGTGTGTCACCACACTTAGCTTGCCTCCACAATTTTTCCTCTTCTTTTTTGGCCTAAATGGCCACCACCACTCTCTCTGGGCACCCGACTGCGGTGTCAGCCACTCTTTCACTTTCTTTTCCTTTCACCCTCAGTTTCACCCACCACTTTGCCAGAAGCTATTTATTAGCATCGATTGGCGCCCTGCGACGACAGAGACTCGCACAGGCACACAGTCTTTAGTGGCTGGGGCTGCTGCTGCTGCTGCTGAGAATGCTTCTTGATGCTTTTGAGCCCACTTATTACATCTGCTGCTGAAACTCTAGCCCAAAACGTTGCCTACGTGCAAAACACTCAGCAGCCAAAACACTACCACCAGTACTAAACTAGAGTTAGACTACTGCCACACTATTCAGCTATCCTGTGCACAGTACCATACTGCTAATTGTAATTTATCGCCGTGTCACCGCCGTCGTCGACGTTTTAGTCGTTGCAGTTGTGGCCACAAAAATGGGCACTACTGCTGTTTAGCAGTATTACGTTGGTTGTTACTGCAGCAAAGCAGCAACTTCTTATTGTCCTCTCTATTTCCNTTGCAGTTGTGGCCACAAAAATGGGCACTACTGCTGTTTAGCAGTATTACGTTGGTTGTTACTGCAGCAAAGCAGCAACTTCTTATTGTCCTCACTATTTCTTCCTTCCTCCCTTTTCCTAACCAGATTCTGGAGAACTTCATCGCGGACGTGTACCGGGCGCGTACAGGCAAGTTCATGACGGAGTCGATGGTGTCGCTCGTCTGGTCGGTGACGGTGTCCATCTTCGCCATTGGCGGCATGGTCGGCGGCATCAGCGGCGGCGTCATCGCCGACTATTGCGGCAGGTAAGTTTAAGTGAATAGAAATGCTGCTTTCTTTTTTCTTTCCCATCGCTGCCATTTCCTGGCTATTGAGGCTAGTCTAGCTTTTTTCCAAAACTATCCTGGGATTTTGCTGCGAGCATTTTCAGTTCCAATTCTGCAGCTCATTCCACTTCCCCTTTCTTTTCTTTTTTCCTTTCTCTTTTGCCATTTTGCCGTTGAATTAGTTGCCATTTGCGGGGTGTCTGTCAGTGTACGCTTTTAGTCTTTTAGGTTGGCGACGGAGGCGGCGGCGGAAAAAGCAAGTCAAAGCCGAGTAGTGTTCAGCTGAAGACTTTTTTCCCCCTTCTTTGCTTTTCTGATTCCGTTTTCAGAGTAGCAGAAGCAGCAGCAGTAGTCGTAGTAGTAGTAGTGGAACACACACACCCGGACACATCAATTACCGCTCCTAATGAAATGTATCGCATTAATTAATAAATAGTGAATCGGCGAGGTGAGGTGCGCTCGCCCGCTCTATTTCTCTTTCTCTCTCTCCCTCTTTCTCTCTCTGTTGCTGCTCTTTTTCCCAAGTCAATCGTGATTGATTCGACTGATTTGCGCCCTAGCTGCTCCCTAGTGCTGTTCCCACTCCCACTCATACACAAGCGAACACTTTTCCCCTTCCTGTCGTGCAGTCACCAGAACTGTTTCTAATTCCTAATTCTGATTTTGCTATTTTGTCACACTACTAAACTTGTTCGATTTCCCCCTCCCTTTCCTTTTTTCTTCTCTAGAAAATGTGGTCTCCTTCTGAACAACGCCATTGCCATTTTGGGCGCCACGCTGATGAGCTCCTCACATCTCTTTCGCAGCATAGAATGCCTCATCATGGGCCGCTTCTTCATTGGCCTTAGCTGTGGACTGAACACCGCACTCGTGCCTATGTAAGTGTTTGTGTGTAATGGGAGTACTCCTTTTCAGGCTCTTGTTCAGCTGTCAGCTCTCGACAGATGACAGGAGGACACAGAACGAGCATGTGTGAACATGTGCCACTTTGCATTCCAGAAGCATTGAAGAAGAGGGGTGGAAGCATTAGTGCTAGTTCTACTGCTCAACTATTGATCTTGTACTGCTTTTTTGCTAATTAATNCTCGACAGATGACAGGAGGACACAGAACGAGCATGTGTGAACATGTGCCACTTTGCATTCCAGAATCATTGAAGAAGAGGGGGTGGAAGCATTAGTGCTAGTTCTACTGCTCAACTATCGATCTTGTACTGCTTTTTTGCTAATTAATGCTCTCTCTCACTCTCTCTCTCTCTCTCTGTACTATCACCCTGTAGGTACCTTTCGGAGATTGCCCCGATGACACTTCGAGGAGCGCTCGGTAAGTTTTTCTTCTGGTACTAAACATTGTTGCTGATTGCTGATGATCACCGCTGATGGCACTGTAGCGTGTCGCTGTTTGTCTGTCTGTCTGTGTGCGCCTTTTGGGTCGGCCGGAGCTTTTTTGCCCCCTTTTGGACCAATCGATCAATTATTCATCGAATTGGCTGCTCCNGTCGCTGTTTGTCTGTCTGTCTGTGTGCGCCTTTTGGGTCGGCCGGAGCTTTTTGCCCCTTTTTGGGCCAATCGATCAATTATTCATCGAATTGACTGCTGCTCAGGATCTACTGAAACACACACACAGACAGACCGGGTTTTTCCGCTGTTACGTTCCGTTTTGCTCTGTGCCGTGCCGTGCCGTGCAAGCCAATGGCAACTTTCTCCTAATTAAGATTAATTGCTCATCTTTCCCCTTTTCTCTCTTTTTTCTCTTCTTTTGCAGGAACCGTCAGTCAGCTGGGCGTCACCATTGGCCTGCTGCTCTCGCAGATACTCGGCCTGCCGCTGATTCTAGGCACCGACGAGGGGTGGCCCTTTCTCCTGGGCGTTGCCTTCATTCCTGCCCTTCTACAGCTGGTCCTCCTGCCGATGTGTCCGGAAAGTCCGCGCTATCTGCTGATCAGCAAGGGCCGGGCGATGGAGGCCACTAATGGTGAGCACAGTGCCGTACAGCACAGTACAGTACAGCCGTACTAAACATGAAATAAAAAATATGATGATGAAGATGATTACAAGCTAATTAATGCTTACTCTTCTCTTCTTTTCATCTTTCATCCTTGACCCAAACTTTTCAGCTCTACAAAGGTTACGCGGTGGCCCTAATGTAGAGGACGACATCGAGGAGATGCGCATCGAGGACCGCGCCCAGAAGGAGGAGGCCCGGGTGAGGAGGAACTCTAGTCTTAGCATCATCATCTCCTCTGGAAACTTTAAACTAAACACATCTTTTTTACCTCTTTTTTTCGGTTTAGATCACCATGACGGAGCTGGTCCGGAACCGGTCCCTGCAGCGGCCGCTAGTGATCGGCATTGTGATGCAACTTAGCCAACAGCTGTCGGGCATCAACGCCATCTTCTACTACTCGACGGACATCTTCACGAACGCCGGCCTGACGGAGGACGTCGCCAAGTACTCGACGATCGGCGTCGGTGTCGTCATGGTCGCCATGTCGCTCGTTTCGATCATGCTCATGGACCGGACGGGGCGGCGGACGTTGCACCTCTACGGCCTCGGTGGCATGTTCATCGCCAGCATGTTCCTCTCCATTGTCCTCCTCTTTCGGGTTTGTTTACACCTGAAAAATGTTTAATTTGTAATATTTCTCACCCATTTTATTTTTCCTGTACAGTTTCTTTACAAGTGGATGGCCTACATGAGCGTCTTCAGTACGCTCATCTACGTAGTCTTCTTTGGAATCGGACCAGGTAGGTTTTGTTTTAGAAAGTTTCAGTCATTTTTTTAACTTCTTTCACTTTTCACTTTTCATCTTCTTTGCAGGCTCCATTCCGTGGATGATCACCGCTGAGCTCTTCTCCCAGGGCCCTCGACCGGCGGCAATGAGCATTGCCGTGCTGGTCAACTGGTTCACCAACTTCATCGTTGGCCTGACCTTTCCGCTTATGGTCAAGTTCAATGAAGTGAGTGTTTGTAAAAAAAGTGCCTCGAGGTTTGCAATTGCTACTTTTTCTAATCACTTCTTGTTTTCTGCCCACATTAGAAAGCCATGGAGAGCTACGCCTTTCTGCCGTTCACCGTTTTTCTCGCCATCTTTTGGACCTTCACCTACTTCAAAGTGCCCGAAACGAAGAACCGCACCTTTGAGGAGATCACCTCGCTCTTCCACTCGAAGGACCCCGACCAGATTCCCATTGACGAGTACCAGCCGTCGCACAAGTCGAGCTCGGGTGATATCTACTCGCACAAGTCGGGCAGCGGCGATGTGACCTTTACGGCTGTGGCTGCCGGGGGCGGAGGGGGCGGCGGCGGCGAGCAGGACAAATGTAAGATTCGCAAGGAGGTCACTTTCAGTAGTGAAACCCCACAAACACCTGCTGAATCAATGCTTTTACCACTCTTTTTGCCTTCCCAATTTTCACAGGTTATATGCACAATCACCACCACCACCATTTTAGCCATTATGGAGATCAGCAGCAGCAGCAGCAAGTGCCCCCAATTCAGCCTGGTTCGACGCACCCTTCGCCTGGTCATCCGCTGGTTCAGCAGCACCAGCACCCGCAGCCAAACGGCGGCCACCAGCCATCCGGCGGAATTATTCGGCCAATGACGCCGCAGTCTCAAGCCAGCTCACACCAACAACACCAGCAACTCCCACCACCACCACCACTACAATCTCCTCAGTATCACCCTGAGTCTCATCAAGTGCCACAACCACAACATCACAACCCGTTACCGCCTCCGCTGTCGATGGGCAGCGCCCACCACCACCCTCATCCTCATCCGCATCCTCATCCACACCCTCACCCTCAGCATCAACAACATCAGCAGCAGCAGCAGCAGATGGGCAACCACCTGATTGGCAATCACCACCACCATCAAGGTAAACACTTACTTTCCCTTTGCCACTTTTTTTCTAAACCTTCTGTTTTCTTTCAGGCACGCCGCTGATGAACTCTCTAAATCACCACCATCCACTGAAGTTTGAGTACTTTACGGGTAACCTTCCGCCGCCCTTGCTCATTACACAACAGCAGCAACAACACATTCTGCAGCAGACACAGCACCACTCTCAGTCGCAGACGGCGCTCAATCACCTCACCTCCTGCACGACGCCCACCTCGCTGACGCCGCCCTCTTCCTCGTCGATACAAGCGGCTTTTGCCAGCAGCACTCTGGGCCGGAAGAAGGTGACACTGTCGGCGGCAACGGGGGCGGCGGTCATTGACCAGCAGCAGCTCTTCGCCAGCACGGCCACCTTTACGCCCAACCACCGCATCATCATTGAAGATCAGCTCTGAGAACCGGCTGGTGTTCTGGTGTTGTTGTAGGCTGGTAGTGGTGGTGGCAGCACCTGTCCAGTGTCAATGTAAGTGCGAACATGTGTTTACAGTGCACTTATCTTATCTGGCCGTACTATTCACTAACACACTCTTTTTTCCCCACCGATGCAGATCAGCAGCAATCAAAAGAGTCGTGCAAACGATTTCTACCATTTTTACCTGTGATCAACTAACTACTTTTTCTTTCTCGTGAACAAGCGCATTCTCACGCACATTTTCGAGCCTAGTTCCGGTGGCCAGGTGGCTGCCTACTCGGGAGTAGTCCCCTCATCATCCTCTTCATCAGCCATCATCATTACCACCACCTTATTATACACCCCTTTTGTTGCTTTGTACCTACCTACCTTCAACCTTGAACTTTTCATCACCTTTCTCATCGACACTACATTCTCACTCACCCTAACACTTCCCTCATCTCATCATCTTCTTTACACTACCACCATCTTATCATTACCATCACCATTACCATTACCAGGCCATTATCTGTTTCTTTCATTTTTTTTGTTGTTCTGCTATTGTTCCACTACCATCACCACCACCAAACCACTAAACACACAAACACTGAAGCATCATCATCACTGCTCAATATATTATTTTACTATTCTCACAATCCTCCCCATTTGCTTTCTTTCTTATTCTTTACTTTTTCTTTTTTTTCTCTTTACTGACTATATAAGTTACTACTATTCTACTGTTCTAACTTGTTACCTGCCGACTTTTTTGATTAAAAATAAATGAAAAACAAAACAGATTTTATTTTAGAGTATCTCTCTTTAGATTTACTCTGTAGAGTGTACAAAAGTGAGTGTAAGTCAAAACAAAAATTAGTTGAAGTAAAAATGTTTTTAAAAGTAAAAAACAAACACTTTTTTCATGAATCACTCACAAATGCTTTTGAGAGTGTGCTTTCTTAGACTGAGACAGACGACTTTTTTTGCTTGAGTGTTTGGAACTTGGAAGTTTCCTAGATTTATTAGACTTATTTCCAATCGAGTGACCGCCACCACGACTAGTGTTGTGCTTCTTAATAGAACTTGTCTTCCTTCGGGAGCGCTTTGAGCGTTTTGAACGTTTCGAGTGGCTTTTGCTTTTCTTCGATCCATCGTGACCCTTGTTCCTCTTTAGGCCGCCCATCATCAGAAAGAGTACCACCGCCAGAACGGCAAGAACAGCAATTACGATGCCGGCAATGAGGAGAACATTTCCCGAGAAGGGACCTGACTCGTTTCTCGAACCACTTCCGGGGCCCGAGTAAAGGCACAATTTATTTCCCGGTTCGGCGGCTCTCATTTGAATGCTTTTTCCATTCGCTTTCATTTGCTGATGCTTATTGCAACCTACGGTGATGTTGCTGGTGTCACTTGAAGGTGTGCTTTTCCAAAAGCCCTGTTGCATTTTGGTGAAAGCTTCAAGTACTGAAATGAATCAAACAAGGAGGCAACTTACAGTGAAAAGAGCGACTGCTTCCATGATGAACAAAACGGAAAGTGGAAGTTTGAGAAATGCACTACCCTTGTGTAATGCACAATTACACTCGGCACTAATCTGTGATCCCCAAATTTAGAATTTAGATTTATTAATTTAGAACATCGTAAGTTATTGAATTGTGATTCAAACAACAGAAATCGCGCCAAAAATCAGAATCTGAAAACTCCAAGAGATATTTCCACAGTACCGGTCCCACACAAGCGATGATTGTTTTGTTGTTTCCCACAAATCAGCTGACTAAAACTTTTGGTCCAGAAACCGCATTTTGTTTTATTTTGTTTTTACAGTTCATTTGGATTTTATTTTACATCAGAACATGGAAAAGATTATCGACTTTTACTTGAACAATGAGATGGGCGAAGAGGTGGTCATTGGATGGCTTCAAGGCGCCGTCATCAGCGAGATGGAGCGACCTGAGGAGTGCATCGACTTGACGACGATATCTGCTAGCTCCTTTGCTGAACAGTTCACCGATAAACTTCATCAATCCCTCGATTGGCTCCTAAAGCAAACCGTTAATGTGCCTATCAACAGAACGCCCCTTACTGTGGTGAATAAGAAAAGCTCCACTATAAATGAAAACTTTCAGGTAAATTGTCTCCCTCATGCCGTGAAAACAGTTTCTTATTTTCATTTCGGTTTCAGAAAAGCCTCAACATTAACGACCACAATTCGTTTCCTTCTCTTGATGAGGCTAGTAGTAAATTGCAAGTCAAACCAGCCAACCAGCAAACACTCACTAAGCGAATCAAGCCGACGCTTGTTAGCCAAAGTAGTAAGTCAACTCAGTGCTCCACTGTTCACTGTTTCTAAAGTGCACGAATTCACTTTTTTCAGGAGCCGTTCCCAGTGAACAAAACAGTACATTTCAAAATGTCAACTACGGCAAAGGAAACCCTTCAACCTCTACCAGCGTTGACAGCTACAAAGAGGAAAGAGAACTACTTAAAAATGTGCGAGAGAAGCGCTTCAGCGAAAAGCCTGCAACAACTGCTGCTGCCAACTCCACCGCAACAATCTCACAATCTCAAACTTCGAGAGCACCACGAGACCCCGTGGTTAAACAACTGACTGTGATTAAGCCTAAGTACGCGGCAGCTACCTGCAAAGAGGAGATCGTCAAGCTAAAGACCCTGTACATTCAACTGCTGATGAACAACCACACGACTAGTCTACTGGAGGAGATCAAGTTCATCATTGCGGTCATCAACAAACGCGCCACCAGTGAAAGTGCCGAGCTTTTGACAACCGCTGACCGACTGCAGGGCATCTTCTCCTCCTATCACAACTGCTTCTACTTTGTGTACCTTGCATTTGAAGATCTATTCATTGAGCATCAGTTCATCAATCTACTCAGCTTCAAGGCGGTGGAGCAGATAAAGAGCAACCGCATTCTGATGGACTACCAGGTCGACGACTGCGAGGAAGACGAAATACTGGAAAGCTTGAAGGAGCTGATTGAGCGGTGCTACCTGGGACAGACAACTGACGAGCAGCAGAACGCCGAGGGTCAGAACTCGACAGAAGACGATGACTTTGTGTACTTTCAGCCTGACACCGACGACAAATCGAACTTCCCCAGNAAGCTTGAAGAAGCTGATTGAGCGGTGCTACCTGGGACAGACAATGAGCGACGAGCAGAACGTCGAGGGTCAAAACTCGACAGAAGACGACGACTTTGTGTACTTTCAGCCGGACACCGACGACAAATCGAACTTCCCCAACGACCAGTCGTTTTACGTCTTTCGCAAGCAGCGCGACGACTTCTACCGGCTGCTTAAGCGGTACACCGAGGGCAACTGGAGCGCCTCCATCGCCGGCGACCTCAAGGTCCAGGCGACCTTCACCTCCTTCATCAACGGCATCCTGGGCATGTCCAAGGACGTCGGCAACTACTACCACCTCGCTCGACTCTTCATCTCACAGCTGCTAAAGTCCTGCAGCCACCGGCAGCGGTCTTCTTCTTCTCCGTTTTCAAAAAAGACAGCAGGTCTTGAGCAAATCAATCGTGGCGGCACAGCTCAGCTCAGCACCAACGAGGAAAAGTACCGGAAGCTGCAGGATCGCTTTGAGCGGAAGCCGCGCAACGTCGGCGCGGATAACAGCAACAGCCTTCTCGAGGAGGCCTTCACCGAGCGGGAGCGCTTCTTCAGCGACCTCATCTACTACGGCGACTCACACTGCTTCAACGAGCAGCTGAAGCTGATACTGAAGAGCCAGATACTGGCGAACACCTCGCAGGACATGAACAGCTTCGTCGAGCGGCTGCTGTTGATGGTGGGGGAGAATGATGGCGTTGATGGCGGCGACTCCGCCACCAGTCTGCTCGCCTTTCTCGGGCGCATTCACCTGCTGGCGAAGTTCTTTGGCTTTCTCGTCTTCTACCCGCTGANAACGGCATCCTGGGCATGTCCAAGGACGTCGGCAACTACTACCACCTCGCCCGGCTCTTCATCTCACAGCTGCTAAAGTCCTGCAGCCACCGGCAGCGGTCTTCTTCTTCTCCGTCTTCGAAAAAGACAGCAGGCCCTGAGCAAATCAATCGTGGCGGCACAACTCAGCTCAGCACCAACGAGGAAAAGTATCGGAAGCTGCAGGATCGCTTTGAGCGGAAGCCGCGCAACGTCGGCGCGGATAACAGCAACAGCCTCCTCGAGGAGGCCTTCACCGAGCGGGAGCGCTTCTTCAGCGACCTCATCTACTACGGCGACTCACATTGCTTCAACGAGCAGCTGAAGCTGATACTGAAGAGCCAGATACTGGCGAACACCTCGCAAGACATGAACAGCTTCGTCGAGCGACTGTTGCTGATGGTGGGGGAGAATGATGGCGGTGGCGTTGACAGTGGCGAATCTTCCACCAGTCTGCTCGCCTTTCTCGGGCGCATTCACCTGCTTGCCAAGTTCTTTGGCTTTCTCGTCTTCTACCCGCTAAACACGTCGCTGAAGGTGGTGAATGAAAAAGAGGGCGGTGGCAACAGTTTTGCCAGCCAGCAGAAGAGCCTCCGGAGCTCGACGCCGGCGGAGAAGGCCGAGGGTGAGGCGCCCATTCACCTCGACCTCGAGTCCTATCTGCTGCGGATGATGGAGAAGCACTACCTGGTGGTGGCCGTGCCCTGGGTGGTCGAATTTCTCACCTTCATCGACCCGATCACGCTGACGATGCCCTACTACGAGGGCGTCCTCGGCCTCCTTTGTCTCATCTACAAGTACTACCTGCCGAGGTTGAGCGCCCTGACGATGCAGCGGGGACGGCAGCAGAAATATCATAACTCGCCCTCGGTCTCCTACACCCGCCTCTTCATTCAGCTCTACCTCGAGCGGCTTTTTGCCGCGAAGAAGTTCAACGCGCCGGAGCGGCTGCAGGCGCTGGCGGAGAACACCGCCAACCCGGGCGAGGTCTGCGCGGCCATGTTTCAGTCGGCGACGGTGAGGCTGATGAATGGCGACAGAAGATCACCGTCACCATCATCATCAGGAGATGGTCACACCACCACCATCTACCTCGACTTTCACAACNCGACGGTGAAGATGATGAATGGCGAAAGAGGTTCACAGTCACCATCATCAGGAGGGGGTCACACTACCATCTACCTCGACTTTCACAACGACATCTTCGACTTTGAGCAGATGGCCGCCTTCTTTCCGCANCACCATCATCATCAGGAGGGGGTCACACTACCATCTACCTCGACTTTCACAATGACATCTTCGACTTTGAGCAGATGGCCGCCTTCTTTCCGCACTTTTCCCGCCTCGTGGAGTTGCAGTTTAAGTTGCAGGCCTCCACACCTTTTGGCGGCGGCATCAACAGCATCAGCAGCAGTGAAACAGTGCGCAAGATTACGCCCACCTGCGTGACGAACAAACCGCTGTCAGTGGCTGTGGGTAGTCGCTTCAGCAGCGCCGCCTTCACTTCATCATCGGCGAGCAGCAGCAGCCTTCCATCGTCGAATTTGCTGCTCATTCAACAGCAGGCGGAGGAGTGCTTTCTAAACACCTGCTCCAAGTCGCTGCGGAACTGCATCAAGTTTGTCATTGAACGGGTCACCTCGGCGGCCATCAAGGCGATCAAGCGGGAGGGGTATCCAAAGGCGAAGGAGGTGCACTTTGCGGCCTTTCTTCGGGAGAATGGCAATCTTTTTAGCGCCGGAAAGGAGCCATCCGAGGGAGGTACAAAAGTCGCCCCTGCAGGTGGTATCCCTTCGGTTGACCCTACTGCCAGGTTGGCGGCGACGATTCGCGCTGACTGCAAGGCCTTCCTCGGCNCGCCGGAAAGGAGCCGTCTGAGGGAGGTACAAAAGTCGCCCCTGCAGGTGGTATCCCTTCGGTTGACCCTACTGCCAGGTTGGCGGCGACGATTCGCGCTGACTGCAAGGCCTTCCTCGGCGAGTACGCGGACGCCAAGCTGAAGGTCCTCCTGCCGCACGTCGTCGACCTGGAGGAGCTGGACGAGAGTGTGAGCCGCTTTTCGGTGCACGTCTGCCTGCGAGCCGTCCGCCAGACGGTGGGCAGCTGGATCGAGCTGAACCTCACCACGGAGACGGTCAACGCAGACCTGATGGCGTACGGTCGTGGTGGCGGTGGCGAAGCAGCAGCAGCATCAAAACCGGAAACCGCAAAAACCTTCTCACCACCTTTCACCTCTGAAGACGTCTTCACCGCATTCGNCAACCGGAAACCGCAAAAACTTCCTCACCACCTTTCACCTCTGAGGACGTCTTCACCGCATTCGCCAAGTTTGAGCGTCTGCTCTACGACCTGCGGACGGTGCTGTGCACCATCAACGGCCACTGCCCGGCCACCACCAGTTCCACCACTGCAAAACTGTTCTCCCCCGAAGGACAGTCTTCAACTTCAGCAGACAGTCTTCAGCAGGCGACCATCCTGCAGCTACTTCGCCGGGTGCAGTCCCTCCGCCGGTGTCCCCACTTCCTCCTCCTGCCGCCGGCGGCCAGCAATGCCTCGCTCCTCGACCAGCTGACCCTCGACCTCGCCCTCAGCCTGGTCGCCTTCCGGCCGCACCTGCTCACCGACGAGCTGCTGGACGGTTTCACGCGCCTCTGGGCCGCCGAGGCGGTCACCCACCGGCGGGTGCTCTGCCTGAAGACGGTCCACCTGCTGACCCGGTCTCCGGCCAGCTCCATCAGCACCTGGCTCAAGTTTGAGTTCCTCCTCAGCCGCCTGCTGGTGGCCGGCGTGGTCACCTTCTCCGAGCTGGCGGAGAGCGCCGAGGCGGTGCTGAAGGAGAGCTGGCCGCCGGCGGTGCTGGCGAAGTACGCCTCGTTGCTGCAGGCGCTGGTCGACTGCGCCCAGTCGCACGACCTCTTCGACTACGACAGCGCCGCCCACCAGCTGGTCGACTGGCTGGCGTGGTTTGTCGCGCAGAAGGAGGAGGAGGAAGGGGGCGCGCTGTTCGACCTGCCCGAGTAGAACTTATCTTCATTTGTTTTTAAAAGCAGAGCCTCGGTGTAATTATTTTTTGTTGCCCTCTTTTACTACAAATCCTTAATCTTTTTATTATTCTTTTACTTTTATGCCCCAGAGTATGATTTCGTTTGTTTCTTTGTTTGCATGNTGGTTTGTCGCGCAGAAGGAGGAGGAGGAAGGGGGCGCGCTGTTCGACCTGCCCGAGTAGAACTTATCTTCATTTGTTTTTAAAAGCAGAGCCTCGGTGTAATTATTTTTTGTTGCCCTCTTTTACTACAAATCCTTAATCTTTTTATTATTCTTTTACTTTTATGCCCCAGAGTATGATTTCGTTTGTTTGTTTGTTTGTTTGCATAAGATAGAGAAAAAAAGCAAGGCACTTTTTTGCTTTTATTTTAATTTATGAGAAGAGATGAGATGAAGTGTTTTTTGCTTATCAAAGGTAAGAAGTTGGTGGTGGTGGTGATGAGGCAGGCGGTGGTCACAGATGATAGGTCGAGGTGATGGAGGTAAAGCTTACGAATATGTGAAAAGGTTAAGAGGAGGTAGAGCTGTGCTATCGGACGCCCAGACACCTTAGATTGGAGACGACCTTGTGGATGAGCTGCACCCACTCGCGAGCCTCGCCCTCGGTGGCTGTCCGCACCTTGTAGACGGTGGTGCAGCTCTTGTCGGCCAGTGTGAAGGTGTTCCGCTTCTGATCCGCAGCAGCGTAGCCGTGGGGATCGTCGTGGTAGGCGACTGACCACTCGGTCAGTGGCAGCGTCTTCAGCGGCTTCGAGGGAAACTGAAGAGGAAAGAGCAGGGAGATGTTTTAAAACAAAACCAGTAAAAAAGAAGAGCACCACCTACCACTTTGGATGGAGTATTCGATTTGGAGTTGAAGAAGAGCAACGAGTCATTGCTCAGGCCGAGGTAGTAGTTCGCCCAGAACTTCATCTGAAGGAAAAAAAAGAAAAGNAAAAGAAGAGCACCACCTACCACTTTGGATGGAGTATTCGATTTGGAGTTGAAGAAGAGCAGCGAATCGTTGCTCAGGCCGAGGTAGTAGTTCGCCCAGAACTTCATCTGAAGGGAAAAAAGAAAAGGGGAGATTAGAAAGAGAAGATGTCTTATGATGAACTTCCTCACCGAAGGCTTCTTCCCCACTTTGAGCACCGTCTTTCGGCTGATGTAGCCGGCGTGCACTAGTTCGCTGGCCGAGTAGGTCGTCGCCGCCCCCATCTTCCGCAGACTCTCATTCACCTCGTCCAGGCTGCTCGTGTCGGCGTCATCGGCGGTGGTAGTAGTGGAGGTGCTTCCCGTCGAGTCCAATGGAAAGCTGTGCATCGACCGGTTCTTCAGGCCGCCGCGCATCTCCAGCGAGGGCTTCCGGCTGTCGCCGCCGTGACTGTATCGGCTGTTCAGCGAACAGAGGAAGAGGTCATAGCTGGGGCTGTCGTCAATGAGATTGACCTTCATTCGGCTCATGTCCGGTTTGCTCCTTCCTCCTGCGCCACTATTTCCACACCCATTGCCGCCCAGCGAGTTGTTCTTGTTCATGTTCACCAGAATGTTGTTAATCTCCAGGCTGTTGGTCTTTCGGTGGCCCGGCTTGAAGGGCACTGTCAGCTGCTGATTTGGTTGTTGTGATTGTTGATGTTGATGATGTTGTTGCTGTTGGTGGTGGAGCAGTTGTTGGTGCTCCTGCCTGTTCAGCTGGTACTTGGTCTGGTAGAAGAGCTCCTCGTTGAGGGACTTGTTGAGCAGGTTTCGGGCGCTCTTCACGTCAAACGTCGCGTCGTACTCGTTGATGTAGAAGTGCGAGCTGATGTCGTACTGACTAGTGAAGCGATTGGCGTACAGCTTTGTCGCCTTGTTGCTGTTGTTCCTAAGCTCAATGTCATTTGGTTCCAGTTTTAGGGAGGTTCTGGGGGGAGAAAAAAGACGGGAGTTTATTTAAAAAAAGGTTGCAGAATTGCTAGGAGCACTTGCTTGTAGTAGTCGTCTTGGCGGAACTTCTGCAGCTCGTCAATGTAGTTCAGCGACTTGAGAGAATCGTAAACGTTCTCCACCAGGTCGATAAAGTCTGGTGAGAGAGAATGAAAAAGAAAATTAAAATTAAGCTTTCACCGAAAGTACCCGAAATACCGTAGTTTGACTGTTGACACTTCTCGATGAAGCCGTACAGCTTCTCCAGATTCTTATCACGGTTGGCATTGTTTTCCGAGTAGTTCTCCGCCACGTGGATGATGTCCCGGAGAAAGGTGGACAGATTTGGTATGCAAATGCCACCTCCGGGCCGGTTGATCGCCTCCTCCATGAACGTTCGCAGCTTGATGCTGTTTTCATTCTGCGAGAAAAGGTCGGCGATCTTATCAAACATTTGCTTGTCCTTTTTGCTGACGTACGCCCATGTTTTCTCTAGGCGGTGCAGGGGCTCGCTGGTCAGGGCGCAGAAGATGGCGTAGCTGGAGTAGAGGCTCTTCAGCGGGTCGATCAGGTGGTGGGCCACCTTGATGAAGTAGCTGATGACGTCGGCGCGTGCTTTCGGCTGCAGGTTGCAGAGCACCTCGTCGGAGATCCAAAAGGTCAGCTGAGGAGGAGAAGGATGGCAACAAAGTGTAAGTAAACAGAAATAAACAACAGATAGGGAGTTCTTCAGAGCTTACGATATTGAAGCGGCGCGTAAAGTCGACCACATTGGGCGAGAGGACGTGCTTCATCGAGCCCGTCCACTGGCCCGGTTTCAGCTCGGCCCGGGTGATCCTCGAGAAGATGGACCAGTCGATCAGCGTCAGCTGCCTGGCCAGCTCCTCCGGCGAGACTTTGCTCAGTGGCTTGAAGGACGAGGCCCCATGGCCACGACCGCTGTGGTGGTCATTGTAGTGGTGGTCCACTGAGTCGGGACTCTGTAGCATAATTGGAACAGTTTGTTTGGTTAGTGATACAGTGCCAAATCAGAACAGATCAGCAGAGTAGTTGATTTGAACACTTACCTCTAAGGTGAAGCCTTTCAGCGAGAAGAGGGTGCCCGGCGTGGAGATGCTTCGCTTCAGCGACGACGACGACGTCGATGGATAGGCGGAATTCATCATCATCATCACCCGAGAGACGCTTCATTAGGCAACCACGACACAAAGTTTTCTGTCTGGGTAACGTCAGCAACGATAAAAACGTCAGCAACTATGTAAACANCGACGTCGATGGATAGGCGGAATTCATCATCATCATCACCCGAGAGACGCATCATTAGGCAACCACGACACAAAGTTTTCTGTCTGGGTAACGTCAACAACGATGTAAACACCACATCAACAGACAAAAAAGAGTTTTCAAGTGGATCAAATCTACATTATCATCATCATCAACTTACCCATCTGAGTATTGGTGTAACGAGATATNTCAACAACGATAAAAACGTCAGCAACAATGTAAACACCACATCAACAGACAAAAAAGAGTTTTCAAGTGGATCAGATCTACATTACCATCATCATCAACTTACCCATCTGAGTATTGGTGTAACGAGATAAAGAGGTGAAGAGGGAACGGTGGAAACTCCCGAATGAGGAGAAGGAGGAGATCCTAGTGAAGCTCGTTCGCTGCTTCTGCTCAGACGTGATGATGCTGTAGTGAAATTCTGGTGATCATTCGAAATAGAAGGCTGGCATCAATAAATTAAATTAAAGTTGGGTGGAAAGAAAGGGAACACCACCATCAGCAGCAGCAGAAGCAGCAATCATAAAAGAAAAGAATCCGTGCAATGACACAAGCGACCACAATAATAAACAACACAACACAACACAACACAAAAGCTCCCTCTTTCTCTCCTTGAGTACTCTGAGCTCAAGCAGTGGTGGGAAAGCAAACTACTGCAGCTGATGCTAATGCAGCAGCGACCAATCGGCCACTGCAAATTGCTGGTAGAGGGCACAATGCAGCGGCAGCAGCAGCTGATGACGACGGGCGTTTAGCTGGAGTGCACTCTTTATGGCTTTTCTCTCTTTCTCCATTTTTTACTGTTCTTTTCCACTACTGCCACGCAGCTTCAACGTCCGCTCGGCGACCGAGTTACCTCGAAAGAGAGTTGGGGATAGGGGATAATTGGTTTGAAGCTTTTCGAAAGAGCAAATAACAAGCGACATCGTTCTCGCGCTTAATTGCCGCCGCCGAAGCTTCAGTAGTTGGCCACAACTTTTTGAGAGCACACTTCAACAAGCAAACACAAAGAGTCTTTGCGCTTACCAGGCAGGAGTTTACACTAGATCAGATTTCCAACAAAATTATGTAACACCGGGGAATTGTTTTTAGCTTCAGGAAAAAGATGAATTCTTCCTCTACAGGTAGAAAAGCTGAGAGCTTGTCCTCGCGAAGCTTATTCTCGGACAAACCGGCCTAGAAGAGAAAAAACGGTCAGAAAAAAGTTTATCACTACTTCCAGCACTTACGGCCCAGCTGTAGTAGAGGTGGCAGAGATTGTACATCAGCCGCTGGTACTCGACCAGGGTTCTCTTGTTCAAAAAAGATTTCATTTTGAAACGATGCGTTTTGAATGAGATTCTTTTAAAGTCTTTTGATCAGTTAAATCATAAGGTCTAGGATCACAGTGAGCTGCTATGAACAGCAGAAGCGGATTGGAGCTAAAACAGCAGGAGCTATTCATCCTAGGCAGGCGGAAGAAGGAGCTTTCGAAGTTCCGTCAGCTCGCCGACGACGTGCTCCGAGTCGATGCCCGCTTCCTCGACCTTCAGCTGCTTGAGAAGCTTCTTGCTGACCAGGATGGCGTTTCCTCCGGCGGCCAGCGCAGGCCGGTAGTCCTTCTCCAGGCTGTCCCCCACGTGGAGGTACTCCGTTCGGGGCCGGCTGATGTGGGCCCGACTGAAGACCGCCGCGAAGATCTCCGGCGAGGGCTTCTCTGCGCCCATCTGCGCGCTGATAAAGCGATACTGGAAAAGGTGGCTGATGCCTAGCTCCGCCAGAATCACCTCGAGGCGGTCGTCGGAGTTGCTGAGGACGGCCAGCTCCACGGAAGGTCGAGCGGCGCGAAGATCAGTCAGGAGGTCCTTGGCGCCGTCCTTCAGCTTCCACGCCGATCCCCGCGAGTAGACCTTCCACAGGTGAGCCGCAGTGGCCCTGATCTTCTTTGCCTCCTCCTCACTGGAAAAGTCGAAGCCGACGTCCTCGAAAGTGCGCGCCACCAAACTCGACCACCACTGAACCGGGTTGGAGCCATTCTGGAGGCCGTAGTTGGGCTGCTCGGCGTCCAGGCGATTGAAGGCCGGTCGAAAGGCAGCAGACAGCTGGGCGACCTTTGCTGGGTCGTCGCGGACCTCGGTGGCGCCCCGCACGCCGTAGAGGGCGGCCACCTCGGCGTACTGGGCGCCGGTGTCCCGCGCCACGGTGATCAGCGTGTTCGTCGCGTCGAAGGTGATCAGGCGGAGGTGCTTGTAGACGGAGGAGGCGGCCATCATCTCTAGTCTTTAGAGAGGAAAACAGAGATATAAGAAGAGAAGAGATGGAATTAATAGAAGGAAGAAATAGAACTTTTGGGTAAAAAGTGGAGTAAATGCTAGAGAATGAAACGATGATGCAAAGAAAAATTGGTAGAGTGTAAAGATTCGGTAAAGACTGTAGAAAACTGTGTCAATATAAAAAAGGTAACGAAGAAAATAGAAAAAACCAGTGTATAAGATCTAGAGGTAGATAAAGAAGTTAAAGAATTTTAAACAAGGAACCTAAAGAGCTGACAGAATCAAAAGAGAACACGAAAATCAGTTTTGTTTACATCTGGCAAAGTCAGAAAAAACAGTGGCGCCCTCCAGTGACAGAATCCCGCAACCCGGCGTCCGTCATCTGCGAGTGCCGCCGACGAGCGAGCGACTCGCGTGCGCACGCCACTGCACTGCACACACACATTCTCAGCAGCAGCAAAGGCAGCAGCAGCATAGCTAGCTTTTCCGCTCCTTCCGTTCTCTCTCAACAGCCGCAGCGCAACAGCAGCATCTCGCTCTCAGTTCTCGGAGTTGGAAGATCCTCGTCGTCCAAGTCCTCGAGTTGTTCCGATTCTCCTCTGGTCTTGACCGGTAAGTACTCTAATCCTTTGGAAGACACACTGCTCTGAGTCCTGGTGACCTGGTCCAGTGAGAACCCACCAGCCGGGACTGTCTTGTCTCTAGGTCAAGCGAGACGGCTTTGTGGTCCTCAGTGTTGTGGTCCTCTGCTGTTGACCTTTTCCCGCTACCGCTGACTCGGGACTTCAGCTTTTGACTTTGACTTTTGCGGGTACTGATCACCACCGTCTTCTTCCTTCTCTTTGCAGAACACCCCTCACAACACCCAGACCCCAATCATGAGTGAAGACTGGACTGACGCCCCAGTGGTCGGTGCGGCCAGCGCCTCCGGTGCCGTTTCCGCCGCAGCCGCCGCCTCCGTCGTCGGCCTGCCCGACATTGCGGACATCAAGCTCTTCGGCCGCTGGTCCACCAGCGACGTCCAGGTCTCCGACATCTCCCTCACCGTAAGTGATCATCAAGCCTTTGCTTTGAAACCCGAACATTGACATTGATGTTTTGGTGCTGTGCCTGACGCAACACTTCGTTGACATTTCGATTTCCAACGTGCCTTGCCTAACTCCGAGTTCTATTTCCACCCCTTACCAGGACTACATCGCCGTGAAGGAGAAGTTCGCCCGCTACCTGCCCCACTCCTCGGGACGGTACGCTCAGAAGCGCTTCCGCAAGGCGCAGTGCCCCATCGTCGAGCGCCTGACCAACTCGATGATGATGCACGGCCGCAACAACGGCAAGAAGCTGATGGCGGTGCGCATTGTCAAGCACGCCTTCGAGATCATCCACCTGCTGACCGGAGAGAATCCGCTGCAGATTCTCGTCAATGCGATCATCAACAGCGGCCCCCGTGAGGACTCCACCCGAATTGGCCGCGCCGGAACCGTCCGCCGACAGGCTGTCGACGTCTCGCCACTGCGTCGCGTCAACCAGGCCATCTGGCTGCTGTGCACCGGATCCCGAGAGGCCGCCTTCCGCAACATCAAGACCATCGCCGAGTGTCTCGCCGACGAGCTGATTAACGCCGCAAAGGTNCGTGAGGACTCCACCCGAATTGGCCGCGCCGGAACCGTCCGCCGACAGGCCGTCGACGTCTCGCCGCTGCGTCGCGTCAACCAGGCCATCTGGCTGCTGTGCACCGGATCCCGAGAGGCCGCCTTCCGCAACATCAAGACCATCGCCGAGTGTCTCGCCGACGAGCTGATTAACGCCGCAAAGGTAAGTTGATTGGAGAGCTGGAAACTTGTGATTTCGATTTGAGACTGACGAGTTCTATTTCTATTTCCACCCATCTCTAGGGCTCGTCAAACTCGTACGCCATCAAGAAGAAGGACGAACTGGAGCGAGTTGCCAAGAGCAACCGATAAGAAGGCGGAGGCCAGGGAAGCGAAGGGGAGTGGTGGCGCCTGTGCGGAAACCTGTCGTGTTGGATCCCCGTGGACGAGGAACATCGGCCTGCTGTCGAACTTTCACTCTCTCCCTCTCAAAACATCGTTGTCTTCTCTCTTGTCACTGGGAACACCTCGATGACCTCCTCCTCCTCTCTCCCTCCTTACCTACCTACTACTTTGTTGATCTGTGCGCGCGCGGCTTCCCGGAGGAGGCGGAGGAGGAGGAGGTGTGGGAGAGAACCACTTTGTTCAATCCCGCTGATGTTCTACTCTCTTTATCCCTCGTAGTCCACGCTCTCTTGTTCCCCCTCGCCCCCTCCTTTCCTACCCGACCCAAACCCTTCTCTCATATAAAGCGAATATAAGCAAAAAGTAAAAATCAGTGTTTTGTATCCGCGTCTACCGTAGATTTTGAGTAGTTTCTTTTTCCTGTTCCGTAGAAGTGCTCTGGAGAGAGAGATGTGTGACCGAAAAATTGGGCGGAAAATCCGTTTACTTTTGGCGCCCTGTTTTCCTGTTTGTCAGTGTCTGTGTTTTGTGTGTTGTGTATTTTGTTTGTGTAACGTTCTGCGCAGCAGCCAGCCACAGGAGGAAATCCGCCAGGAGCAAAGTTTGATTGCTTCCCGGGAAGACTTCTCCCTGATAGCAGGCGGGAACTTCTTCCCACCTGAGGCGCCCTCTCTTGGAACTTCTAGAGATTTGCAGAAGCAGATGTGTGTTTTGTTTTGATCTTCTGCCGGCGTTTTTGAAAATCAGATAAGATTCGAGGAGATTTGTTAAAGAAGATGTCTGTCACCCTGCACACCGACTTAGGAGATCTAAAGCTGGAGCTCTTCTGCGACCGGTGCCCGAAGGCGTGTGAGGTAAGAATCTTGTTTGTTTCTGGATTTTTCGAGTTCTATTTCTCTAAAATCTTCAAATCTTTTTTTCAGAACTTCCTCGCCCTCGCCGCCAGCGACTACTACAATGGCTGCCAATTCCACCGCAACATCAAGGGCTTCATGACGCAGACGGGCGACCCGACGAACACCGGCAAGGGCGGCCAATCGATCTGGGGCGGCAAGTTCGAGGATGAGATCTGCGAGGAGCTGCGCCACGCCTACCGGGGCGTCGTGGCCATGGCCAACAACGGCCCCAACACCAATGCCAGCCAATTTTACATTACCTACGCAAAGCAGGCCCACCTCGACCTGAAGTACACCGTCTTTGGGAAGTGAGTGATTTTTTAGTTGAGTTCTGATTTTTTGGTACTAAAGCTTTTAATGTTTTGTTTCACCAGGGTCATCGACGGCCTCGACACGCTGGATGATCTGGAGAAGGTGCCCGTCAGTGGAAAGGCCTTCCGACCGGTCAATGACGTCCACCTCAACTATGTGACCATTCACGCGAATCCCTTTGCCGATACGAGCTTGATGGTGGGCACGACGGCGGACTAAGGAGGAGGTGGAGATTCAAGTAGGTGCATCTTTATCCTTCTTCACCTTCCTCATCTTTATCTTCATCATCATCTTCATTATCATTTTCATTTTTGTGATTGCCTTCATCTTTAAAGAAGGTAGTTCCTGAGATTTCCTGAGTTTGCCTGCTACTGTTGTTGCTGTGTGTTGGTTAGTTTGCCTCGACGCCAACAGCCGCCGCCAGAGTGGCCATTTTCACTTTTCATTTTCTTTCGTTGGCTCCGAGCTTTGAAAGTGAGAAAGAGGCGCCAGCTTGATGAGAGTTCCCCCCTAATTTGCTTGAGATTCGAGCCCCCTTCTCCCGCCGTTTCGTCTTCTGTTCAATTAAAAGCTTCACCACCACCACCACCACCACCAC